CGATTAAACCGTGTTTGAACGCAAACTCTATATTGGGCAAATTTGTAAAGAAGGAAGACAGAGCAAATATGAAGAAACTGTAAAAAACATGTAATCCCAATCCATTTTCAAGAACAGACTCCTGGTCACGTAAAAGCTTGCTATTTGAGCCGTAGCTGAACAACGCATCTTGCGTCTGACCCATCAAGTTTTCAGGCTACAGCTATGCTATCCCACCCTGCACAGAAGGCAGCTGCGAGAATCAGGAACGCGTCCGCATCTGTTTTTTCTTTAGACTTTAGACTCTTTTTGGACCTCTTTCTTTCCTTTTTCTTCTCTCTCTTCTAGGTTGGAGGCCATCGCTAGTAGGTTGGAGGCCACGCTATTAGTTTTCTTTCTTTCTGTCTTTCTTTCTTTCTTTCTTTCTGTCTTTCTTTCTTTCTTTTGAAGATTGTATTTCCACATTTCTCAAAATTTCGTTTCTCCTTTCGAGGACTTGAAAGGTTTGGCCTCGGCATTGGAAGAAGCACCAGTCTCTGTTTGTGCACCTTGGCTTGATAGTATCAATGGTGGTAAATATGGACTCAGCATTTTGGTTGAGGTGTAAAGTTTTCAAAAGAGTGTCAAGGCAAAAGCAGAACTGCCTGCTTTCGGCATTTGCTGAGCAAACGCATTGCACCTTTGCTTTCAGTTTTCCGCCTCATGCTAGTGAATGCAGGACAATCCTTGAGTGACTCTTTAAAAGGTATTTTCGACTATCAACATGCCTCTTCTTAGGCTTTTTTCTATTTCCTCTTCTTAGCCTCTTTTGGGGTACTAAAGACACTTTGAAACCTGAACTCTTCGAAAGCACTGAACACTTCTGAGCCTTTTGAGGTCAACGCTGGAGTGTGGAATGACTACACTGGCGGCGTGCTCACGTCAGCAGCCTGTGGGCCCATGGGTGCTGAGTATCAGGACTGAATGGTGTCATTTCATATGCCGCGCATCATTCTCATGTCGGCATTTTTATGTTAATTCTTGTACTCCAATACCTCCACTATAGGGGGTATGAGGCCATATACAGTCGGTGACTCCTTTTCGAAAGCCGCTCCGCCTCGCTCTGCAGCGCCGCTCCAGCGCTCCAGCACAGGATCATTGCGTCATGGCGGTGGGCTACAACAGTACCGCACCGAAGCCCTATTGGATCGTGCGGAACAGCTGGGCTTCGACGTGGGGAATGGCTGGCTACATCTACCTTGAGATGGATCCGCGTCGAAGCACTAGTATAAAAAGGCATAGTCGTCGCTAGTAGCAGCAAGGCACCCTTACTAGAAGCAAGAAGCTAGCATGAAATGAATGCATGAAGCTAGCATGAAACTTTATGAACATCCTTGGAGAGAATTTTGGACACATCGGAGATACTTTCTGTCTTCTTTTTTGCTCACGTCCTTGTCCTCAGGACAAGAACACGTGTGGTCTTGCGGATGACGTGACAATTCCTCATGTGACTTCTTCTGCATTTTAGTAGTAACAAGAAGCTAGTAGTAACAAGTGCCACGCTAGTAGTAACAAGTGCCACGCTAGTAGTAACAAGTGCCTTACTAGTAGTAACAAGTGCCTTACTAGTAGTAACAAGACGCTTTTGGGGTCACTGGATGTTCATCTCAGCCCTTTGGGGAGGAGCCCTTGGAGTTATTGAAAGACGACCCAAGCAATGAAAGACGTCTGCAGTTCACTACCAGCCGTTCCTTTTTCCCCAAACAGTTTACTGTCAGGGGTTCTCAATGCTTTAAAGAATGGTCACCTTGGTGCTGGATGGTCTGGTCGGGTTCCCGGCCGGCTTGTCTCCCACTTCCTTATATTTGTCTCCCAGTTCTTTTCATTTGTCTCCCAAGCTCGGTGCTTGTGGTCGGGTTCGCGGCTGGCTTGTCTCCCACTTCCTTTCATTTGTCTCCCACTTCTTTTCATTTGTCTCCCACTTCTTTTCATTTGTCTCCCACTTCTTATCATTTGTCTCCCAGGCTGGGTGCTTGTGGTCGGGTTTCCGGCTGGCTTGTCTCCCACTTCCTTTCATATGTCTCCCACTTCTTGTCATTTGTCTCCCTGGGTGCTTGTGGTCGGGTTTGCGGCTGGCTTGTCTCCCACGTGCTTTCATTTGTCTCCCACTTCTTTCATTTGTCTCCCAGTTCTTTTCATTTGTCTCCCACTTCTTTTCATTCCCCAAACAGTTTACTGTTAGGGGTTCTCAATGCTTTAAAGAATGGTCGCCTTGGTGCTGGATGGTCTGGTCGGGTTCCCAGCCGGCTTGTCTCCCACTTCCTTTGTCTCCCAGTTCTTTTCAGTCGGGGTTCCCGGCTGGCTTGTCTCCCACTTCCTTTCATTTGCCTCCCAATTCTTTTCATTTGTCTCCCAGGCCACTTCCTTTCATTTGTCTCCCACTTCTTTTCATTTGTCTCCCAGGCTGGGTGCTTGTGGTCGGGTTTCCGGCCAGCTTGTCTCCCACTTCCTTTCATTTGTCTCCCACTTCTTTTCTGCTTGTGGTCGGGTTCCCGGCCGGCTTGTCTCCCACTTCCTCTTATTTGTCTCCCACTTCTTTTCATTTGTCACCAACTTCTTTTCATTTGTCTCCCAGGCTGGGTGCTTGTGGTCGGGTTCCCGCCCTACACTTGCTTTCATTTGTCTCCCGGTTCTTTTCATTTATCTCCCAGAAATGCTTCATTTGTCTCCCGGGTCCGTCACTGCTGGTGCCATGTAGCATTTCTATTCATTTGTCTTTGTCACTGCTAATTTCCGCCCTTTTCCGCTGGCCATGCAGCATTTCTATTCATTTGTCCCCCAGGCTTGTCACTGGTGGTGTCCCGCCCTTTTCCGCTGTTTCTATTCATTTGTCTCCCAGGTCTGTCACTGTTGGTGTCCGCCCTTTTCCGTTGGCCATGTAGCATTTCTATTCATTTGTCTCCCAGGTCTGTCACTGCCAGTGTTTTGTCTCCCAGGTCTGTCACTGCTGGTGTCCGCCCTTTTCGTCGGCCATGCAGCATTTCTATTCGTTAGTCTCCCAGGTCTGTCACTGTTGGTATCCGCCCTTTTCCGCTGGGCATGCAGCATTTCTATTAATTTGTTTCCCGGGTCTGTCACTGGCGCTGCCGCCCTTTTCCGCTGGCCATGTAGCATTTCTATTCATTTGTCTCCCATGTGATTTCTTTCTTTTTGTCTTTCAGGTTTGGTGCCTGCACTGCTGTTTTCTGCCCTGTCCGCTGGAACAGGTTCGCCTGTGAAAGGTTCTTGCTCCTTTGCAAGGGGTGCGTGACTGTCTCCGGGATTGCATTCCTGCCGCACTGTGTAACTCTCTCAGCTTTGTTTTCCTTCTCGGGCAACCGTTGGATGAATGACCGGATTGGATTTCGGCGGTGTGGCAGCGATCTCTCTATTCAGTTGGGGCGGAGGGCATATGTCAGGCACCAAAAATCAATTTCATGTCACATCCTTCGCTCCTCATGCTTTTGTTTCTTGTCCTCACCTGGTCAGCTCCCCGCTGACTGAGCAGCATGACCAGCATCATGTTCGCGCTTGAAGAATAATTCCCCAAAAGGTTTACTGTTAGGGCTTCTCACTTCTTTCTTAAGATGTGTCCCCCCGCTCTGTATTGCTGTGTCCGTCTCTGCCTTGCAATCCTTTACATTTATCTCCCAGCTCTGGACGTCGCAAGCTCTAGTTTCGATTTTGAAAAACACAAACTGTTTGGGGTCTACGGTGGTGTAATTTTTGGCGGCTTGGAATGGCTTGCTTTTTGCAAGTCGCCAAGAAGGCTAGTACTTGCAACCCATGAGTCACTTCCTGAAGTGTTCAAAGCATGGTTCTCAAAGGTTTGGGGAATGATGAGCGGAACTGTATGGACTTTCCAATACTTTGAAATCAACTTTTCCAAGAAGACAGAGTTTAAAAAAGGGCCTCCAGTTGTGTTTGCCTTTCGTCAGCGGTTCATCGTCATATTCCAAAGAACCTCTTACAGCTTTTCTGATTGAACACATTGTCCATTCCTGCCAGAATGCATTCTTTATATTTCTTTACTAACAGTGGGAGACTCTTCCCTTTTTTCGCTTGTTCTCTCCTTTGCCGAAGAAGACGCTTCGGACATCGTCCTTGGCATCGCCACGACTCGACTTGCTTCACGGATCGTTTCGGACATCGTTTCGGACCGAAGGTGAAAGTGGACCTGTCCAAGGAGGAAGCAGCAGAGGCCGCCATGCGGCGAGAAGCCATGTGTCCTGGTCGCCAGCGATGGTCCACCACTTGAAAACGAGGAGGTCAATAGGGAGGGCCTCCACCTGGTCGTAGCGATGACCTCCAATGCAACTGCATTTGTTGCAAAGGGCCATGTGTATCCTAAACTGTTCTCGGGCAAATGTCCTTGATGTGAAAGAACGTGGTTAGCTAGCTTGGCCTACATATACATAAACTGCTCGTGAGGAGAAGTTGCTTCAAGTCGAACGGGCCAAGGTTCCAGCGGGCAAGCACTTGGGCGGAAAACACATTGGAAGTTCAGGCCAGGAGCCCCTAGTAGCGTCCTTTGCTCCTAGTAGCGATGCCCTTTGCTCCAGGTTTGAAGCTGAAAAGAGCACTATGAAGGTCTGATCTTTTGGATCGACCACAGCAGCCTCATGCGGGTGTGGGAGTTGGCCTCAAGCGCCACTCTCCATCCTAGACGGCTTTCGGTAAAAAAGGAAAATGGCGACGAAAGATGGGAATCTGCAGAACCCCCAAAAGCCTGGCGCGAAACAATCAAGAAGCTACTAGGGGCTCCTGGCCTTACTACTAGGAGCAATGTTCGCTACTAGGAGCAAAGGGCCTCGCTAGTAGGACCAAGAAGCTAGTAGGGGCTCCTATATGCAAAGGAGCTCTTGGGTCCTTTGCACTAACCCTTTGTCTCAGGCGTTAGAGTCCAAACACCTTGCCACTTGCAAAAACGCAAATCAATGCCAACTAACACAACGCGTGAAAAAGGTGTGGCTCGGTATGACCAAACACGTGTCTTTTCGCAGATTGCCATCATGCGCTTTCTCCGGCACGAGAATGTGGTCAGGCTGGAGAGTTCTGCTGTGTGTCGATATCCACTCCAAATTCATTACTTCACGAGAAGGTCTAAAGAGAAGTATAACAAATGGAAAAAACATGGAAAAACAAACAATAACGAAAAAGTCTAAACGCAAAAAAGTTCTGCATGTTCATCGCGAATCCCGCTCTTTTTTCCTCTGATCCGACGGACAGAAAAGCACCTGCGACCCTCTTCAGGTGCGCCTCCAAATCCCAAGGAAACCAGCTCCTGGCATTACTACTAGGAACCAGAAGCCACTAGTAGCTCCCGGCATTACTACTAGGAACAAGAAGCTACTAGTAACAAAGGCATCGCTACTAGATGCAATTCGTCACTGGCGGGATTGAAAGCTGGGGAGCTGGGGTAGAGTTGGGGGAAGGCTGTAGCGATGCCCTTGTTGCTAGTAGCTTCTAGCTAACAACATATCGGGTCACATGCAAACAACGGTCCCAGTTAAACAAGGAGACCCGGCAATGCCGATGCGCTAGCAACACTTTTCGGCAGTGAGACAAGCGACACAGGATGTGGTCACTCTTTATTGGGTTTTGAAAGCCGGTGTGCCTTTGGGAATGGAGACGGGCTGTCTTTGGGAATGCGACACGACCCTTTAGCAAAAGGAACAAACCCTTTGATCAAGCTCATGTGCTTGAATGCTTCTGGTCTCGAACGCTATTGTCTCGACAGGAAGCTGTAATTATTGTAGCTGTGCCAGTTGTGCTTGTGATGCTTGCTTTGCGGAGTTGCGTCCAAATCAAACAGAAAGGTGTACAATTCATATAGACCAGGAAAAGACGACGAAAGGAAACAGGAAGAAAGCAAGAAAATACGGAACAATCAGAACCAAAAAAAAGCAAGTCTTTTGGACACACCTCATTTGTTGTGTCTTGATGGTTGTGCTTTGCCGGAGGTGTTACGATGTCTTCTTGGAGGCCGCAGAGATTCCATGGGCTGAGCCTGCAAGACGAGTCATTCGCAAAGAACAAATAATCACGAGTCATTCGAAGTTTCAGGCCTCTCACACTTAGTCAAGCAAGAGAATGCAGCCTTTTGAAAGAATGTTTCTTTTGCTCCTTCTTGTAGAAAGACCCATGTATCTTGACCTGATCTGGTTCTGTCTGGCCTTTGCTTGAAAGAATGCTACTGACTCCGGGGATTATTGGATCATCAAGCCAGCCACAAATGGCTATTGGGGACAGGGCTGCAGTTTGGTTGAGGTGATGGCAGTGCAAATTCAGAGACCTGACTGGTTTGTGTCACACGCCTGGATTGAGCCTTGTCTTGGGCCACGTTTCCTAGAATCTGAATTCCGCTGTGTGTTTTTTCTTGAACTTGAAAACAAATACCTCACAGGCAAGACACCTTGTCTCTGGCTATAGCCATGGGTTGAGGGGTACTGCAACATTCCAACCTTTGGCTGTTCACGTGTGTGTCACCACTTTTCTCCACCCCCCCTTACCTCTCAGGCCTTGCTTCGAGGGTTCAGCTGTGGTGACAGCTTTGTGTGTTGAACAGTTGTTGACATTTTGACATTGATATCCGTCCTGGCTGGGTTACATCCCTGTTGGTTTCTGTGGAGCCTGCCAGTGGACTAGTAGCGGAGCGTTGCTCCGGAGGACCTTGGCGCGAGCCCATTGCATTGCTGCGTGATTCCGTTGGTGCATTGCTGGACCTACATTGGTGTTGGCTGGACATTGTCAGTTGAAGCATTTGTACGTTGTTTTCCACTTTGCTGCTTGGTGGGCTGGCGAGTTGTCGTTGAGCATAGGTAATCATTGGTTGCAACGTTGGACGTTGAGCGTTGCTTTTGACATTGGTCGGTTGTTTTGATGCCGTGGGATCTATAGAGAACATGATGTATCCACTGGGGATGGCAGCGCAAAAAAGGCTGGAGAAGACGCTGTCGTGAGGTCTCAGTGTCGTCAGATTGCGACGATGATTGCCCGCTTGACGGGCAGTGCAAGGTTGCTGGCTATGAGTTGGTCGCAGGCTGAATTCAATACAGACCGTGGCGTCATCGAGCACCTCTATAGAGATTTGCAAAGTGTCGCCATTGGCAATGCTGCTGCAACCGCGACGCAGTACTGCGTGGTCGAGATGAGTCGATTAGCTACTTCTTGGTTCGTGAGGTGCTCACCTACGAGGAGTTCCAACAAACACTGTTGAAGCTCAAAGAAGAGCCTTCAGGTGTTGATCCATCGACTCAGGATTTTGGCCTTGAGGAGATCTTTCGCCGTGGAGAGGAAGCTGAGTGGAACACGCCCTTTGTTGAACTGTCACAGTGGCAATCTTCACCTTGTTGGCTATGTGCCAGGATCAGATGTTTGCAGCTCAGTCGGATGAGAGTTGGCGGTGTGATCATTCGCGGTCCGTCATGGTATGATGCTCAGGCTGCTTGGTCCAATGATTGGACCGACCCTTCGTCCAGTGACGGTCATCCTCCTGCTGAACAGCTGGCTGGGTTGCAACCCGCTGAACTCGATCACGAGTCCATTCGCGAGGCTCTGCGAGTGAGAAGGTGGCTGAAGCAAAGAAGCATTGGCTGCGCAAGCAAAATGAATTGGCAGAAAGCTCAAAGACTACTGCGGCGTTGCGACGTGACCGTGGTTTTGGTCAAGTCAAGAGTGCCGGAAAGGACGCTGGATTTGTGGCATCCCAATGGTCATGGATGCCGGAAGCTGTTCGCACGTGTAAAGAACAAAAAAGTCTCCTCCTTCATCCAGGCGGAAGCTGTCCGCCGATGTCTGAACCACAAAGAGAATAAGAAGCAGAGAACAGCAAGAGGATTCTGGGATGTCGATGTGTCCTCACATGGAAGACCCCTCGAGAAGATCTTGATGAAGCTTTTCGCGAAGCTCTTGAGAAGAGTGAAACCACTGTTGTGCTCACCTTCGATGGTGCGCGCAAGGCCTTCCAGCTCACAGTTCAACAGACGTGGACCTCAGAGGGCCGTGGCGCAGGAGAGTCTTCGCCTGTGGACTAGTGGAGTTCGTGAACTACGTGAGGCCTTGCAGGGAGGCGCAAGGTGCTTGGCGACCCATGCTTCCGGGTGTGGACTGAGCCAGTGGAAAACCCTCTCAACGATGGCGATCGCCGTGAAGTCACTGGCTACATCTTTGGCCATGGCAGGTGATGCTTCCAACCCTACCTGGAACTCCGTCCGGGGCAAGATTGACAAAGCCTATAGAGGTGGGGCGCAGTCAAAGGGCGGAAGCTACCGACGCGTCGGAGCTGACATCATTGAAAAATTCAACGCCAAGGACGGTCGTTTCCGCGAGATCAGCCAAGACTTCTATGCGGAGACCTGTGCGGACATTGATGCCAGCCGCTCCCACCAGAAGGATGAGGCCTTTGCTTTGTGGCCGCACTGTCTCGTGAGCCCGCGACAAGGCGCCGACAAAGCTGCTCTTCAAGAAGCTGCAGACGGTGTCGGGTTGGCAGGAGATTGTCGTGATCGCGCTTGGAGACCAAGCGCGCAACAACCGCCCAGACGGCGGTTCCACAGGCGGCTTGGCTTCTTTCCTTGGAGGACCTGGGCATCTTCAAGGACGACCAGGTCCGTTGTCGCTTGTTTCATACTGGAGGTTGGGGTGTGTTGCAATTTCGTCGAACGACCCGCCCACATGCAATGCGAAATGGGGTTGGTGCAACGTTCCAGCCGTTGGCTGTTCGCACGTGTGTCATGAAGCCACTTCTCCCCACCGTGGCTGTTTACCTCTCAGGCCTTGAGCCGACCCGGCGCGTGAAAAGGGCGCGCGTGCCGCCATGGCACTGGAGAGTGCTTCGAGGGTTCAGCTGTGGTGACATGATGTCCATCCTGGCTGGGTTACATCACTGTTGGCTTCTTTGGGGTCTACCAGTGTACCAGTTGCAGATACCCAAACGGCACGAACGACACGCTTAAAGTCGACTTGTTTCAATTTCCTACCGTGAAAATCAGTGAGTGTGTAAATTTCTGGCCTGTTTGGAGCAGCATGCCCTGGTCTGACAGCTGTCAGCGCACGGCATTCTGGGTGTGCGCATATGCCAACAATCAGCATCACGTCTCGGATGATATTGCGTGTAGAATGCCTGACACACGGTTGAGGGAGTTGCAAGGGCTTTGCATTGGTGCATGTGCAGAAGCCTGCCTACTCTTTCTCCCCCTTGTCCTCTTTATTTTCTTTAGACTCTGGTCCTTTAGGCCTTGAGATCTTTCTTCTTTTCCTGTTTTACTGCGCTTGTTCAGCTGGCAGAACCAATTCGTGAGTGTTGTCATGGACCTCTTCAACGGGGGCGACCTTGTGGATGGACTCAACCTACATCGCCGGGCTCCAGCCTCGGGAATTCTCACTCTCAAAAAGACTCAAACACAAAGCAATCAAGACGATAGCAAGGCCTCCACCCTAACAGGAAAGGCCTCCAACCTAGAAGAAGCTGGCCTTTTCCAAGACCAAGGCATCTTCAACCCGGTGCAGACAACTTTAGTCTTTCCGGGTGGTTACCAGGTTTCAGGCTTTGAGAATTTGTAGCATCACAAGTCTGGGAAGCAAGAAGCTACTAGGGGCTCCTGGCATCGCTACTAGGAGCGAGGACGCCACTAGGGGCTCCTGGCATCACAAGTTTGGGGACACCTGAGGGCTTAGGACGCCACAACTAGGGCTTGGCCGACCTAGTGCAGACCTAGCATCGACCTAGCGCGGGAACTCCAGGGTCAGGAGGCTCTGGAGGCTCGGAGGCGGGCGAAAACGGAGGGGGCTAGAAAACCTCGCAAATACCGATGCTTTCTGCTCTTGCAGACAAACGCAGGCACACAACACATCGAAAAAGGCTATGTTTCTAGCGTTTTTTTGCTCGTTGGGGTACCGCCCCTTCAAGATGGCTTAAGATAGTCTCATGGTGCAAGTTATGCAGCCCAAGTTGCCTTGCATTATTTGTATTTTATGTGTTTTCTTCTGTTTCTGGTCAAAGCAACAACCACAACAAGGACCACCACCACCACAACAACAACAACAACCACCACAACAACAACAACAACCACCACAACCACAGCCATAGCCATAGCCACCAACACAACCACCGCCACGCCGTGCCACTAGGCCCCCTGCTGGCTAGCTATTGGGCGTAAGCCCCTAAAATAGTAGCTGCTTCTAAGGAAAGACTCCTTGTTTCACTAGGTGTTTTCTTTCGACATTTTAAAGGGCCAAAAGTCCTGAAAAGAACGGAGAGAAGAAAGGAAAGAAAGAACGGTCTAAAAGGTTGTTTTGAACCAGATATTCACATTCAACAAGAACTCTATCAGGTATTCTCCGGTGTACCGGAGCCGGTTCCGGGTCGAAAGGTCTCCGGCGTGCCGTCGATCCGCCGTCCAGCCAGGGTCCGGACTAGAATCCACAGCCGGCCCGATTTACAGCTGACCGCCTCTCCTATAAACGCGTCTTTGAACCGTTCACCGATGCTGAGGCTTCAGGGCGGCTGCGAAACAAGCAGTTGCGACACCTGGCCAAGCAGATGACTGCTGCCGTGGCGCATGTGCGCCGAACGAACGGAACAAGGGATGGAATCACCCTGGACAACTCACAACGGATTTTTCGAAAGGGGCAAGGACGCTACTAGGGGCTCCTGGCATCGCTACTAGGAGCATTCTTACTACTAGTAACAAGAAGCTAGTAGTAACAAGTGCCACGCTACTAGGAACAGGTGCCTTACTAGTAGTAACAAGAAGCTACTAATGGTTTTTCACGCCGGGGTCATAGACCGCCTGCACGGCAGCGACCATGCCAAATCCCCGGAGCTGGTCCTGGGAGGGATCGGTTTCACGAAGGAATCATGGCAGATTTGCCTGGAAAGAACCCCAATAAAAAGTATTCAAACCTGCTAGTGATGGCCTCCAACCTACTAGCGTGGTGGCCTCCAACCTACTAGCGATGGCCTGGTTTAATCAGGGCAGGCCTCCTCTTCTGTTTGCAAACGAAATCATGTGGATTTCTGCGCCAGTCCGAGCCTTGACCCAGCAATCTGCCGATCTTGATGGCAGGTACATAGCCTCGAGATCATGCACCGGGATGTCAAGGTGAGAGCACCAAACATTGGAACCGATGCAAATTCAGCGTGACAGAAGCTGAAGATCCAAAACCAAAGATAAAGGATGTTGTCTTAGAAGCCTAAAAATAAGGGTGGTGCAGCAAAAACACATGCATATAGTATAAGTTATATAAAGAAGTGAATGTTCTCTACATCCCTACTGTAGGTGTCTTGAACTTCGCTACCCTTTGCTCCTTCCATCAAAATGTCGGAACTCCTTCTTGCCTCGAGGGGCCTTCCTTAGAAGGTGTCTTGTTGATTTGGACATGTTTGCTTGGTCTAGGCTAGTAGCTACAGTTTGCCTAATTTGCTCGAAACGGTGGACTCCATTTTCGCTCTGCCAGGGCGAGAACTTTTTGTCCGACCGGCCGAACATTGCTGACCCCCATGTGCGAGTCTGAACCTGAGATGAACATGGGACAAACACTGCTTGGTCCTGGTAATTCATGGGATCATGCAGCGCTTTTTGTGTTTCAGAGAGATCAATTGTACTTCATTTGCACTGCTTGTCTTTTGATGCAATTGGGTTGGAGGCCATCACTAGTAGGCTTGTTGCTAGGTTCGAATCCTTTCATTTGCAGTTGAATTGCGTCTTTTGAATTGCGTCTTCTTGGCCCTTTCTGGCTCGAGTAATCCGATTGGCGGAATCATCGCCATCGGATAGTTTATTTTTTACTGATGCTCAAAGAGACTTGGCAGCAGTACATTGGGAGCAGACGCTACCCCTTGGTAGCGTGTGGGAAGAAACAAGGCCTTTGCTCACATTTATTCCTTCCTTGTGCTTCTTCGGATGCTTTTAGGACTTCCATATTTCTTAGTCACTCGTCCTTTTTTCTTATTGCTGTGATCTTCCAAAGCAAAAAACGATTTGAGATACTTGCAAGGGCAATGTGCATTGACTTCTGATTCGCACTGCCCACATCTGCTGTCGACATCCAGGTGTTTTTCGTGCTGCCTTTGCTGGGCAGCACTGAGGACGGGCAAAAAGCAGTCCCTGTCGAAGTCGGTGCTGTTCAAGAGGTTCTTAATCTTGAAGAGACAACCGATTTTACGGAATGTCTTTTGCGGCGAATGGTCGGAGGCCATTCCCGTTTAGGTTTGGAATCCTTCGTCCATTGGGCTCACACATGTGACGTCCAATCGGCCAAAAGTGAGTGTTCTTGTTGGGCGACACGACCTTGACCTTCAGGGCCTTGTTCGCTTGTTGGGAGTGGGTATGGTGTGGAAAATCGTACGTGCTCAATGCGCAAACTCCTCGCCAGGAGACTGCGCTTCAGTTGGATGATGAATGCTTAGCAGCTGAGAGCTGTGCTTTCAATGCTCTTCAGCTTAAAGGCTCGGCCAAAGCTACGAGCTTCCTCATAGCGATGCCAGGAGCCCCTAATAGCGTCCTTGTTCCTAGTAGCCTAGGGCTTCTTGTATACACTTTACTACATGAGGCCCACGTCTTGTACTGTCAGTAACTACTCGTGACTACCGGGCCCTTCCCTACGGTTGTAACAAGAATGCTTGGATGACGCCTTCACCAGATTCCTTGTATATTTGACGTCATTTCTTTCTTAAGACTTTAGATTTTAGACTCTATATATAGACCTTTTCCTTTCCTTCGTTCTTTCTTTCTTTTCCAAGAACGCGTTCCGCAGTTTGTGTCCCCTTCTTCCCCACAGGTGAGCAGAAAGTGGGTTGTCACACCACCGTCGAAGGAGAACGATGTTTTCGTGAGGCCGAAGAGGGGACGGGGGGTAAAAGAGGAATCGTGACAAGCACAAGAGGAATCGTGTGTGTTTAAGGAAACACACTAAAGGTCTTGGTCTTCAATTTTGTTTTGTTTTCTTTCTTTAGACTCTTTAGACCTCAAGACCGTCCTTTTTCTTCCCACAAGATTTGGCAACGTTTTCCAGCGAAGCTATTGCCGTTCGTCGAAACTCCGAACGCCTCGCGACGAAACGAAGGAAACGGGACGCGATCGGACGCGATCGGGCGCCCGTCCGCCCATGGCAGATCATGTGGGCCCGGAAGGTGGGCATGCGTGGAGCGCTCAGAGAAGACCGAAACTGTGAGATGAAGTGACGCTCACAGATGTTATACAAAATGCTATAGATGCTATTGCTATAGTATTTTCTACGATATTTAGATATATAGCAATAGTGATGGCCTCCAAGCTTACTGGCGATGGCCTCCAACGTATGCTGTCAAACTTTTTCCTTTTTTCTTTGGACCTTTAGAAGACCTGTAGACTCGTAGACCCTACTATTTCTTTCCTTTTTTTTGCTTTCCTATTTTTTCATAGAGAAGAGACCTCACCCGAGATTTAACTCAGGTAAGCATCCTGAGTGGTATCCCAACCTCACGGTCGACTCACCCCTCATCGACTTGCAAAAGTTCATGTATGACCACTTTCCAGGCAGAACGAGTCACACAACTCGCGCAAGAATAAAGAAAAGAAAGAACGGTCTGAAGGTTTAAGAAGGGGAAAGACAAGAAATAATGTAAAGCTATTAGGTTGGAGGCCATTGCTACTAGGTTGGAGGCCATTACAAGTGAACAGTGCATTCTTGAACGCTTCGCTTCGCTTCGCTCACTTTGGGATGCCACCTCCCGTTACAACGGAAGAGAACACTTTCTTCGCCGGGCCCGGACTGAAGTAGCTGCTACTGGCTGTGGGTTTTCAGAACAAGAGCAATTCTCCCTTCAAAACGCTTTGGCAGAGACCACAAAAAAAGGTTTCATTCGCTACTCTCGCTACTAGTAACAAGGGCATCACTACTAGCAACAAGGGCATTACTACTACTAGTAACTAGAAGCTACTAGTAACAAAGGGCATCGCTACTAGGAGCAAGAAGCTACTAGGGGCTCCTGGCCTTACTACTTGGAGCAAAGACGCTACTAGTAACAAGGGGGTACCTGAAAAGTGCTTTTCGAGTCGCGGCAGGCAGATGCCCCATTCCGTGTGGTGTTCCGTGCACTTCTCGGCTTCAAACGCGGACAAACACGGCACAAGCATGAAATGCTTCAAAAGAAGCTCGAAAAGGATACTTAGTTCGAGTTCGAAGCACATCAAAGGCATTTCATGACATAGTAATGCACTTGTTACTAGTAGTAAGGCACCTTGCTACTAGTAGCTTCTTGTTACTAGTGGCGATGCACTCGTTACTCTTTAAGTGCCTAGGTTGCCTGCCAAGTGGTGCCTGTGGCCTCCAGCCGGAAACTTGACCCCTCCATCTCCAGAGGGTGGGAACCTCACGATCAAGGCCGGCAGATGCCTCCAATCGACTTGCGATGGCCTCAAAGCATGTTTATTCTTTTTCATCAAGAACTTGTGTTGTCATAAACAATTGTACTGCGATGTATTTTTGCGTAGTCGACACGCCTATGGCATATGTTGCTGGCAATTGCTGATATGAAGCTAGAGACAAGAATTTGAGACGGAAAGAGAAAGGAAGACAGGCACTCCGAGCATAGGTAAAGAGGAGGTTTGAAGAAGGAGTTGCGCGGTCGCAGGTTCTTACCTACAACCTCTTCTGGTGGAATCTGTACAGAGTCAGACAAGGCGAGCAACAAGAATCCTCTTTTGCCATGCTGAAATCCAAGGACCTCACTTCCGTGCTAGACTCCTGAAGCCCAAAAACCGTGAAGAACGCTTCATGGAATGATCAAAGTAGCGATGCCCTTTGCTCCGTTCGTAACCATGCCCTTTGTTCCTAGTAGCTTCTTGTTTCTACTAGCTTCTTGTTCCTAGTAGTAAGGCCAGGAGCTACTAGTAGCTTCTTGCTCCTAGTAGCGATGCCCTTTGTTCCTAGTAGCTTCTTGTTCCTAGTAGCGATGCCAGGAGCTACCTTCGTAGCGTCCGATCGCTCGGTTCGTAGCGATGCACTCAGGTGACGGAGATAGCGCTGGCAATCTCATCAAAGCAGAGGTTGAGGAGGTCGGTCAGCCGTAGATTGCGGCACAAAGGGGATGCAACCAGGGCTTTTGAACAGCGTCTTTGGACTTTGAAACGCCTTTCTTGCTTTTCTGGCTGTTGTTTCTTTGCATCCCAGACCTTTCGTTCCAAGATGGGCTACAACACATATTCATCAAATGTGCATCTAGTAGGTTGGAGGTGTCTGTTTTCTTTCTTTTCCTTCTTTTCCTTCTTTCTTCTAGGTTGGAGGCCATCGCAAAGAGGTCGGAGGCCATCGCTAGTAGGTTTTCTTTAACGGAGTAACTCGTGCCACTCCCAGAGACGCCAGGATCGACCCTTTGATGTGATGGGCTTCCAGGAGTGCGAAAATGGACTCCGAGTTTTAGAGCCGGTGGCTTTGGCTAGCAAAAGACGATGGCCTCCCACCGAATAGCTTCCGAAAAAAAGACATTTGAAGACTTTTGACGACCTTGTTTGGGTGATTCTTTTTTGGTGGAACATTGTTTGCGACAGGAAAAGAGCAGGTTCGAAACTGCATCCATTTGGTCATTTTTGGTCGTTTAACCAGTGCCAAAACACATTGCTCGTGAAGTGCACCAATACATTTCTTACTAGGAGCAAAGACGAGACTAGGGGCTCCTGGCCTTACTACTAGGAGCAAGGACGCTACTAGGAGCAAAGGGCATCGCTACTAGGAGCAAGGACGCTACTAGTAACCATTGAGTCATCGAACCTCATGCAACAGATCATGCTTGTGCAGAAAAGCGCTAGGTGTGAGGTAGTGATTACAATGTGTGAGGTTTGGTGTAATGTGGCTACTGTGATCTTGTGTTGAGGTACAACTTGCTTTTAGGGTGGAGGCCATTGCTATCAGGTTTGGATTTTTCTGATCTCAAGCCGGGAAACTCACGAAACATAAACAGGCCCACTTAACGGTTGCTTCTTGCACGAAAGCCTTCTTTGTAGTAAGGCTTAGTAAGGGTGCAAAAGAATGAAAAGAGACCAACAAGGACAAACCGTCTATAATCTGAGGAGGAAACAGAAGGAAAAGGAAGTCATGAAATGCTCTTTGTTCCTAGTAGCTTCTTGTTGCTAGTAGACACGCCCTTTGTTACGTTTGTCGCGTCCGAAATCGCTTGCGCCTCGTCGCGATGCAGTACCCCGATGACGTTCACGTCGCGTCCGATCGAGGTTGGGCTGTTGGAACTCTACGAAGTTCTCCAAGGGCCCCATGCTGCCTGCCTTGCCTACCGGAAAGGGCTTTGGAAGATGATCTCGAACGGAAGCATCGATGTGGGAGAGGACGTGCCCCCATGTGTCGTGTCATGCGTGTCATGCGTAGTTGGGTCTGAAAATACGCTTGGTCTGGAAAGCCATCGCTATTAGGTTGGAGGCCATCGCTCTTAGGGTGGAGGCCATCGCTAGTAGGTTGGATTAATTTTTGTACATGTAGAAAAGGTATGTTTGGTTTGGAAACCTTGCTTGGTTTTG